TGTCAGGTAGATGTTTATCGCTTTGACATCTGATGGGAGGGTGTTCCACAGGGCGGGCGCCACTACCAAGAAGGCCCTATGCCTGGTTCCCTGTAACTTGGCCTCTCGCAGTGAGGGAACCGCCAGAAGGCCCTCGGAGCTGGACCTCAGTGTCCGGGCAGAACGATGGGGGAGGAGACGCTCCTTCAGATATACTGGCAGGGTATTTTAACATGCTTAATGTCACAGCTTTGTTGGGCATAGTGATTTTATTTTCAATTCCCGTTTATACCCCACTTTTCCTTCTAGAAGGAAACCCAAATAGCTAAGAATAACGCACCAACATATACCTGTGGAATCCTACTTATAAAACAACACACCTCTCAATAACATAACATTAATCTAACCGACATATTTGAGAATTGCTAGGGAAGGATAGTGAGTCCCAAACATTTAGAACTATAAAGTATGAATTCACCATTTCCAGACATTCACACAACTGGCTCCCCACTGGACGTTCCTTTCCAACAGCTTCCCTCCTCCCTGCTGGCTATGAAACCCATATGTATGCTGCAGAGCAGCTACTGCAAAATACAGAGTGCAGTAGAGAAAAAACATAAAACCCTTTTTTCTGCTCCATTTGAGCAGAGAAAGCTGCTTATCTCCTCTGGAAAATAGGGACCTTGCTATGCATTTCCAAATTGTATCCTTTCCTTGCCAGTAGCTGTTCTCCCAGCCCATACCTTAATGTCTACGGTGTCAAACCACAGTTCTGAAGCTTTACAATCAATAATTAAATAGCTGAGATAATTATAAGGCCCAGTGGGAATTTATAGAGATAGATTGTTACTTTTGTGCAAATGATCTGCATTCTAACAGGTGTTTTATGATAACACATGTGGAGCTTTCAGAAAAACTTTTAAAAAAACTAAAACAAAAATCCCCTCTGGGATTATAATGCAGCACACCCATTGGTTAGGAGAGGATGGCGTGTAATTATCTCGACTAGCAAGAGGTTTGTCTTAATTCTAGCTGCTAAAATAAAAATTGAAATGGAATCAGCAAAGCAGAGCCATGTGATTTTGATGTTGCCAGCAAATGAATCACTCTCAGCGCATTTCCCCAAGATATGGATACATTCCTGTACAGGGTTAATGAACTGGCTTCTACGTGTCTGAACTGTTGATTGAATCCAGGAGAGAACAATGCAACACCATTGGAAGAGGCAGGTGCTGAATTGCATTCAACTGAATAATTCTGTATACTTAAAGGAACTGTGTATTAGGCAGGATTTTATATTTTCACTGTGTGTTTTCTTTCATTCCTGTTCTGCATTTGTTCATTTGTTGCTTTCCCTGTTTGGTTTCCATCCCTGTCAACAGATTGCTATAACAACACTTCCTTTGATTGAATAATGATTGGTTAAATTACTTTCACCCCTTACTCTACAGGTGCAAATTTTTCAAGGAAAAAAACTACTAGTTAATTTAATCCCCCCCCAAAAAAAAATCAGTGCATTTGTTGCCCAAGGAAGATCCCAATACTAAGTTTTATGGATGTGCTAAGGATGGAGGACAAATTTGGTTCACATTTTAGTATAACCTAATTTTCACTTTCCAAAACAACATGCAAACTGAAATGCAACTATCTTCTGAAATTCACACTGCTCTGAATTATATGATGCAGTTCTCCAACCAGAAAATATATACAAACATGCGTATATCAGGGGAAAGTTTACCTAAAAATGCATGTATTAAAATAGTGCATCTTTATGTGATCTTTACTTAGAAAAAGTAAAGTTGTGGGTGAACATATCAGACGGCACAGCGATTCTTCAGACCAGAACAGAACTGAACTGAAGGGTTCAGCCAGCCTGCTTATATAGAGCTCCACTAGAACACAAGAGTAACCATTTTCTGTAACTATCCAATCACTGAATGTCACTTTCGATCCCTTATTTGCATATGTGGACCTGAACTATCTACCGTATCCCCCTGATGGCCCAGGGTGAGAACTTCAGTACATAACTACAGTAAAGGAGGATAGCAAACAAAATGCTCCTGATTCTGGTGAGCTGGTCCCAGGAGGAAGGGGTGTGTGGTGGGGACGGGTCACCCCGGGTGTCACCACTGAGGGGGGTGACAAAATGCAGGGTGGCACTCACCGCGGGGTCTGCAGCACGCCCACAGACTCTGCGCTGCCCCAAATGGCCTGCCCACCTCCTTCCCCTCAGCTTGAGGCCCCGTGGAGCGTCCTGCCCCAGCTTGCCCCACCCCACAGGTGGCTGGACCCGCCCCTGGGCATAGTGCGCACGCGCTGCCCCAGGCACCCAATCAGCTTGCTCTGCCGCTGGCTGGTCCTACCCATCTCTGTCAGAGCATAACAGCCATGACTACAAGGGCCAAGACAAACCAAGAAGCAGATTATTTTGGTCAGTCAGAGAATAAGCCCACACTGACACCACTTTATTTGGATCACCCATTACAGAACACGCAATCATGTCAAAGAAAATGTCAGAAATAAGTGAGAATCAAAAGATAAATAGGAAGCAACAGGTCATAACAGGTTTGATTCCAGGAGTTTAAACGCTCTTTCACAAGTGTCTAGTAGAAGAAATAATGAGATCTCTGATGCATCTTAACTGGGACCTGTGGAATAGCCTCAGGGAGAAAACATGCCAAGTACCACAATTGCAATGAAAGATGCAGTGCCTGCGTCACTGGGAGACGTCTATATTTTATTGTGATTCCACTAAAATGTAATGCATGGTGATATCCAAGAATCATTATGTAACCTAGTGATAATTTGGTGAGGTAAGATATTTTGACAAGGCCACAGACATTCCCCTTTGATCGTGAATAGGTCTCCCACAAATCTCGGGTTGATTACAATGGGGCTTTTATAGGGTAGCTCTGCATTTGCCCTTCCCCCTCTTGTCAAGTAATATTCTTGGTTTGGAATCTGCTGTATCCATCAGCATCCTTAGAATTCTGCATTTGATTTTAAAGTGAAGAAGCAGGTACAGATAGCAGGTGCACATTAATTTGTTTGAATGAAATTTGCATAAGATAACCAATGGCTTAAGTGAATTGGAGTTTTCTTCCTAGTAAATTGTGCTTGGCATTATGGCCTGTGAGATATTTTTAATTAATATCAATATGTTGCTTTAGTTTTTATGTGCCTCACTCATCCAATGAAAAGTGCCTCACTCATCCAATGATTTGATATTCGAGTTAAAAGCCAAAGTTCATTGCGTGCCAATTTCCAAATCGTTTTGATGAATGCGGTAGTGTAATTAATACATGTTTGGGGAATGCCTTGATTACATTCCCTGGAAGCCTCTAACAAAATACAAAGCTTCAGTTCTTTTGGTGAGCATATGTCACCTGACAGTAGCCTCATGTGCGTCATCATATACCCAATTATGTTTTCTAATTAACATTATTGGAAACAGAATTAATTGTAATGGAAGTGAGAACAGCACATAGGTGGAATCCGCCCCTTGACAACAAGGAATAATTGTGATTAATTAACAATGCATCAAAACTCTCAAAGAACAGTTTTTAAAAGGTCTTGTAAGTTCACAATATTTGCTGCACTCATTAATCTCTTCTGAGTACCTTTAATCAGGGGACTCCTTCAAAATTAAATAAATAGTATGCCAGCCCTCCTCATATGAATTATAATATCAAGATTCATTTTTTAAAAAGCATTAGAATATTTTCATGCAAGCCAGTCCAGATAAATACGACATTTTAAGCTCAGTTTCACCCACGAACATTATTGTAATGGAGAGTTTAAAATTCATTAGGGACTCAAGGGAGAAGCTGCTGTGGAAGATTAAATGGTGCTCCTAGAATTCAAAATGAGGTCTGAAAAGTCAAGGGGTCATATGACAGCCAATTCCGAAACCCAGGACTGTATCAGAAATCAAGTAACGTTTAGAGCTGTTTATGTGCATGAGGCAGAGGTTATAAATGCTCTTCCAAACCAAAGTTAAAAGTGAACATTTTTGAACTGCTTCCTCAATGTACTAGTCAGACACCCAGTATCATGTAGTGCTAAAGCAAGCCAAGACTCCTGACCAATTCAGGGGTGAACTATTCCGTTTTTAGGAGAGTCTCATGGACAGGATTAACTTTTGGCCCACTATTTATGGTTTTGTGATTGGCTTTTCCTTTACCCAGAGGCACTCAGTGGGACTGAGAATAGATGTTGCGCAGTACTACTGAGCTCATTTTGTGTGCCTTAGGCTGCCAGCAAGCCTAATCTTTCAAAGGGAAAGAAGGCTTGCAGCTGTGGATTGATTTTCACTGCTGCTGTTTTAACTGTTTTTCCTGTAGTGTACTGACTAGTTTGACAAATAAACGTGGTCTTCTAGGTTTATGCCAATTTGTGTGAAATAGTGTTTATTGGACGCCTCTTTCTTGGCCCTTTGAAATGCCGAATGGCAGATTATCACTAAAAATATTAAAAATTCAGAGCATTTAATTAAATGCGGTGTGGGTGTGGTGGACTGTTCTGGACTAATTAAACAGGCAAAAGGTGGATGAAAAGCTAAATAATGCTCACATGTGGACCAACCCTAGTCTGGAATGTGACTTATAGAGCTGAAAAAGACATCTACATTTACTACTAGTTTTGAAACGCCTTAACAATAAGTGTTTACTTTCACCATGAAATAGAATTTGCCTCAGGCTGGTTTTATGCAGGCTGCAGAAAAGTTAAGGGGCAAACTATACCATTTCTGATTCCAAGGGGCGGGAAGCCATTTCCAAACGCCCCCCTCCCCCATGTCACCCTTTCAAGGATAGCTCTGAAGACTTGCTCTAAGCCAGGGGTCAGCAACCTTTTTCAGCCGTAGGCCAGTCCACCGTCCCTCAGACCTTGTGGTGGGCTGGACTATATTTTTTTTGGGGGGGGGGAATATGAACAAATTCCTATGCCCCACAAATAACCCAGAGATGCATTTTAAATAAAAGGACACATTTTACTCATGAAAAAACACGCTGATTCCCAGACTGCCCACAGGCCGGATTTAGAAGGTGATTGGGCCGCATCCGGCCCATGGGCCTTAGGTTGCTTACCCCGATCTAAGCCAACCCTCTCCTTGCTCTGCTAGTTTCCCATACTGCTGGGACCGTTCGAAAATAGGATTCCCCCGCCTGAAGCCTGGTGTGATACGTTCTGCTCTAGCTCCTCACCCCTCACAGACCATACACAGCAGAAAGGCCTGAGGATCCTTGAAGAAGAGCTTGCCTCCTCAGAGGGCTATGAGAGGGGGCAGCCCTTTATGGTACAGACTGAAAGAAGTGAGAGCAAGAACTGCAGAGTCTCTGGTACTTCCCCCACCCCCTCAAAAAAAAGCCAGCAGAAGTAAGGAGGGTTGTGGAAGGCTGCCTGCCTGCACCTTTAATAGTTGTGCAGAAGAGGGGAATTTCAGCAGGCTGCACAAGCTGAAGCTCCTTTGTTCATCTCTTCTGGCCGCCCTATGACTTGCTCAGGCCCATAGCTGCTTCTCTTTACCGTCTCCTGGGTCTCCCTAGGCCCTTATCTTTGTCTCTACACACGTCCAGCCCCCCTGCATTTAACGGCATCCTGTTGCATTCAGGGCACATACCCACCTCTCCCTTTTGCCCCCTAGTTTGTTTTTATTTATTTTAATTGTATACCGCCCTGTCACCACATAAAAATACAAAATGAGAACATGAAATACAGAATAAAACACAAACTAACAACCTTCCCCCCCTCCCCTCCCACAAACACATTTTAAAGGCCACAGAATGTTAATCAGCCAAAGGCCCTGGTTATAGAGAAATGTTTTCATGTGGTGCCTAACGTTTAGGAGAAATAAAACTGGGTCGCCTCAGGGCTGTAATGAATTCTCTTCATAAATGAGCTGGATTAGCAGCACCTGTGTGGAGTCTGTCTGAATGCTGTGCTCATGGGTCACCAGGTAACACGCCTCACCATCTTTCATCCCCCCCCTTTTTTTAAAAAGTCAGGGTATTCTCTAAATCTCACTCACTTGCATCCCTTTCCCTTCTTTTTTTTATTCATTTTCATCCTTAAACTGTTTAACATGGTTGCATTGAGATATATCTTTGTTTACATTAGAGTATATGACAGGCAACAATTACATAATATTAAAATGAAACATAAAACAAGAATAAACACTAAGGTGTTTCTGAATATATTAACAAAGTTGTGTCAGAGTGTATATCAAAATGATTACAGTTATTACAGGTATTCAATGATGTATAGTAATATGTATTACTTTGATTGGTGACCATAAGTAAAGGATGTTTTGTATCAATAACAATTAGAATTTAGGGGGGAGGGGGAGAAAATATTTAAATAAAATACGTATACATGCCGGACTATGCTGTAAACTATGGGCCCTGTTCTCTCACATGCCTCATTATTTGTGTAATCAATGAAGTCTCACCAGACATAAAAATAGTTGTGCTTCTTTTGGCCTCTTGCTACTTTTAATTTTGTGTCAGTTTTTCCAATAATGCAGTTTGCCAAATTGCATTATGCCATTGGTCCACAGTTAATAATTGTAATGATTTCCATGTGCTGGTGATAGTTGTTCTTGCAGTGGTTAATAGATGTGTTATAAGTTCTTTGTTTCTATGGTAATTTGTAACATATTGTGACTATACAAGTAGGGCCAGTAATGAGGACAGTGCCTTGTAATCAAAACTATTTCTGTAAATGCATTCTTCCAGAACTTTTCTATTTTTGGACACCCTCACCACATGTGCTGATATGTTACTGTAGTAGGACATCGTCTCTAACACATGGGAAAGCTATTCAGTTTTATATAGGCTAAGCATCTAGGTGTTAAGTAGCAGCCATGCACAATTTGTCAGTCATTTTGTTCCAGCGTCGTATGTCCATATTTATCCATACTTTGCTATAATTTGTCTGATATAATTGGTTTAAGTTGTGAGTGACCTGAATGCCTAAGTATCTGAAGCTTTTTCTAGCTATTGGGATTTGTAATATTTTGGAGAAGTTTTCCTGAAGTTGTGGGGAAGTATGAAAAACATGACTCCTAGTTTTTGAAAGTTTACCTTAAGTCCAGAAACATTTTAAAATGTCTCCAGTTCTGTACTCAATAACCTTCCAGCATTGACAGGGTCTGATGTACATTAAACAACATTGTCATCATAAAATCCCAGAATATATTCCCTTCTGTTGATAATTACACCCTTTCCTGCTAGAATTTGGCATAATCTCATTGCCAGGTGTTCTATGCTTAAAGCAAATAATAACCTTGTTTTGTTCCACAGCTGTTGACATTTTTATGAATCTATATTATTTATCCTAATTGTAGCCGACGTAATATCATAAATATTTTCCAATATTCTGACAAATTTAGGGCCACCCCCCCCAAATCATATGATTTTTGTTTTAAGTACAACCATAATTATTTTCTCTATTTCTATGATCTCCAATTCTTTCTGCTTTAGCTACAATTTTTAAAAAGCACTTCTTGATCCTGTAACTATGTGTGTTTGTTCCAGAAGGGAAATTTCCTGTTCCAGTTGTGATATTTGTGTCCTACGTGATCTGCTTAAATGTGATTTTTCTGGTATACATGTCCCTCTCATCATTGCCTTCATTGTTTCTCACAATAGACCCAAGCTTATTCCTTCCGTATTATTTTCTTTACTCCCCCCCTAATGTTTTAGACAGTCTTTCTCTTAATAATTGGTTTGTTGTGAAATTGGGCAGAATACCATATGGGCGTACTGTGTTCAACTGGAGTGAATTCAAATTTCATGGAGACTGGGGCATGTTGTGTTATTTTTATCACTTCTATTTGTCTTCTTTTCACTGCATTTAAAAGTGGGGTTGACTTGTAATAGAAAGTCTATTCTGGATTGCAAACTGAACATTGGGGACACAGAAGTATGAGTCATGTCTCCCGGATTCATCTCCCCAGATGTCCTGCAGTCCCCACTCTCATGGGAACTTCACCAATTTCAGTTGGTCTCTGTCTTTCTTGAGTTCTATTGCACTCCTACATTTCCTTTCCCATGTGGAACCAACCAGATCTTTACATGTTAATAATTTTAAGATCACCACCAATTAATAAATCATTTGAGGAGCAGTTTTTCAGTTTGGCTAGAGTTTTTTGCAGAAAGGATATTTGGCCAGTATTTGGTGCATAAATAGATGCCAGTGTGACATTATGGATTCCATTAATAATACCATCAACAAAAATAAACTTTCCATTTACATCTCTCAGTACTTTTGGAGACTGAAAATTAAGTCGTGAATGTATTAATAGGGCCACCCCTCAACCTTTATTGGAGCCACTTGCTGTGTACTTTTGGCTCACCAATGACAGTGTAACCAGTGTATTTTTTATCTGCTTTATGTCTTTCTTTCAAAATGGCTATATGTGGATCTGTTATGAACAAATGAGTTGCCATTCTGGCCTGTTTTATTGGAACTCCCAATCCCATCACATTTAAAGTAATTACATTAATCCCTGTACAATGGTACCTCGGGTTACATACGCTTCAGGTTACAGACTTGGCTACCCAGAAATATTACCTCAGGTTAAGAACTTTGCTTCAGGATGAGAACAGAAATTGTGCAGTGGTGGCGCAGCAGCAGTGGGAGGCCCCCATTAGCTAAAGTGGTTCTTCAGGTTAAGAACAGTTTCAGGTTAAGAACGGACCTCCGGAACTAATTAAGTACGTAACCAGAGGTACCACTGTATTCATTTTGGCAAAGAATAAATAGTGTCTTTTGCCAGTCTAAGCTTTCCACATTTTTGCTCTGATTCTGGAGTTCAGTTATTTCTATAATAAATCTACTTATATAAACTTGGCGGGGGGGGGGGGGGGGGGCGACGACGGACGGACCACATTTGAATTATTAACCTGAAACCTTTAAAACATACAGTATGGTGTGTACCCTCTTTCAACAGTAGAGGGCACTCCAGTTGTTGGCATTTGTCTGTCTCAAGAGACAATGGAGTGTGTCTCTGGAGGTGAAGCCAAACTGCTAGAGAATCATAGCACCTGCTGTGGCTGTAGAGATTGGTAACTCATAACTGCTGTCTCCTGTGTTGTTGTTTTTGCTGTGTTTTGAAGGGCACACCTGGGCAGTGTGTATGGAGGTCCTGGGCTGTCCAGAAGACAAGACTCCCCTCTCCGCCTTGCTGATGTGTTCCAAAGGAAAGCAGAGCAATACATTTGGCACCATCTTGGCTTCAGGAGTTGCTGGAAGGAGGCATACAAGACTCCATCCAACCAGTTTAGGAACTCCACTCTGGATTGTATAGGGTCTACTCCTTAGCTATTTCTTCTCTCTTAGGGCAGTGGGTAAGGGCACTCCAGTACCACTAACTATAAGCATAAAAATCAAATTTATTTTAAACAAGTAAATGATGAGGTACGTTGAAGTGGGCATTTTATTTTAAACATCATGTCCTTAAAGGTACCTTTAAAATGTAAATATTTGCAGATCATTGCAGTCTGATTACTTTTGCTTCTATAGAAAACGAGTCTTTTCTCTTTTAAACAGCATTCTAGCCTTGCAACGGTTCTGCCTTATTTTCTGTTTATTTAGCTCCTGTTTATTTTCTGGGCATAGTAACCTTTCTGAAATACGTACAATGCTGTCTCTTCCTAGTCCCATTCTTCTCCTTTATGGTCTTTGGGCTTTGCTGTAACTTTCCCATTTGGGCTCTTGAGCTGAGTCATCTTCACCAATAGGTTCACTATTTTGCTGCTAAAAAAATCAATAACCTCAGATGGACAGCCCCGTTCTTCTCCCCCACCCCATCTTAAGTTTGCCTGGAAGACTTTATGGATTAACCTAGTTTCTTGACTGGATGTGGATAATTTCAGTGGTCAGGGTGCGAAAGGCACCTCATTAGTGTTCAGTGGGGCTCCCTTTCTTGTTACTTCATGTTTCATAACATCATAGAACAATGTTAGGAATCCAAACGGTCATCTAACCCCCCACAATGCAGTTTCTTCATACTCTAGAGCTGATCGTTTTGATAGCATCCCAAGAGCAGTGCTTGTGTACTTGGTGTGGGAGGATTGGATACTGTTATTATGTTTTTTCTACTCTTCCAATTCATATCCCCCAAATCTTTCCAGGTCCTGCCAAATCTCCCACACGGTAATCTCTAGAAATATTTATACTCTGTCCGGATATTGGAAAGAGGGAGAGATACAAGGCTTATAAAGTTGTGTATCTCTTCATGTTGAAAATATAGTCTTAATTTTCTTTTTATAATATATCGGTATAACTTAAACGGAATACTGTACTTGACCATGCTCATATTAGTTAGTAAGTGTTA